TAGTATAAGAATAAGAACAAAAAGAAGATGAAGAACGAAAGCACTATTACTAAAAACAGCAGCAGTGGTAGCAGATGCAGATGTTCAGTTAGGAAACAATGAACCAGAGAGTATCAATTTACAAAATACATGTGTAACATGCTGCATGATTATAGGTTTTACAGTCTACAATTATCAATTTAAGAAGACACTAATGGTGTATAAAAAAATTTTTTTTTTTGATGACCGATAATCCTATACTTTTTAGGCATTATTAGCTCTGCTCCTACATCAACAGCGTAACGTTTATGCTAAGAAAAATAAACTGGAAAAAAAGGAAACAAAACGTGTAGTTCTTTAAAATATTTTATCCATCCTAGTTCATATAGACATCATAACAAAAGGTAATGGCACATAGTTGAGACTCCTAAAATTATCATTCAAGTAGTGCAGTTTTACAGATATTATTGTACTAGTCAAGAACGCTTTTTGATAGCACCTTCACCAAAAATCCAATAAAAATAATTTCAGCTTCATTTACTGTAACCGAATCCAGACAATGATGTACAAAAACTTAAAATTTTTTTTTTCTGCTTCAACAACAGAGAGATGAGAAAGAAATTTACTATACTAATTTTAAACCCAGAAATATAAATGTCTGAAATCAACTGCTCACTTATAACTTTCCAAAATTTTATCCTCCATTATCTTTTCCACATAAAATAACCCTTTTTATACTTTTGTGCTATCTCGTTCACAATTTTCCTACACTTGTACGTATTGTTACAGTACCTCAATTTAGTCTTCATCTTTAATCTGCAATCTTACCAAAGAATTAGTACAATAGAAAAAAGAGTAGAGATAGGAAAATTTGTTAAATTAAGGAAATTCTTTAAATTTATTGGTTATACCACTGACCTTTGAAATGATTTTATGTCGCACGTTAACGCAGGGACAGAAGAAAACATATGGACATCAAGCTGCTTCTGAATGAGAACTGTTTTTTTCTTATCATAACGACCATAAAAACGAACACATTAAAAAGTAATTTAACAGGTGTTTACATGTAAGCAGCAACTGGAGGACTTAACTCAAAAACCTCAACGATTCCATCTTTATGCAGTGAGCACTGCCAGATCACAATAATTCATCTCCAGTGTTGCCAATTACGACTCAAATAATCACTGTTCATTCTCCCAATTTCTTGTTCTTACAACGTATCAACTACACCAATTACCGACACCAAATCTACGTTTGATCGCCACCACAATAGCAATCCTTTCCACTACCAAACCCAACCGATCCAACACCAATCTCAAAGCCTGTCTTATAAGAAAATCAACTCCCACACCTCTGCGCTTGGCCTAAACCGTTTAAAACAAATTGCAGTTTCCTCCCAATATCTCATAAATCTTTAAACACCGCACAATTGTGGCAAAAGACAGAGAACGCAAAAGAGAAGACAATTTTCTATTTAAAAAACATCTAACAAAGAGAACTTTCAAAAGATTTTATTACTGAACTGAGAAGTAGAACAAAACAATAAAACAATCAACAAACAAACTTCCTTATAAATGTATCATAAGGTCAACAACTCTTTACAAATAAGAAAACATTTACATTATTAAATCTCAAATTTGCACTTGATTACAACGATCATCGCAGAAAAATGCAAAACAAAATCAAGAAACCCTAAAAAAAATGCACCGTTTTTATCAATGGATATTATCCATAAAACAAGAGGTAAACAACATCCTCAAACAATTCTCAAATGCATCAAACCTCAACGAACAGCTCCGCTTAACTGTCAGCTATTAAAACCACATAGTCAGAACAAGGATTACCCGTATGCTCTTTTACAACATTGCCAACGGCTCAAACAATGTTAACTAGAAAACGCCATATCAAGTAAAAACTTTCATACCGCCTCTCCAGGAAGGCTATGAGCGAGAGAAAAACCACCACTATTTAAAAAAAAAATTGGCCCGAAAAGTGGAATTGGCTGAACTGAAGAAAAAAGGCGAGAAACGAAAAATACTGAAACTTTCTGGCACCACTGAAGTCTACCTGATTCAACCTGTAAATAAGCTTACCTTCATCCAACACCGCTAAATACCGAGACATCATTTTAGAACCCTACGAATAAAAACCGGTAACCATTGAATTTTTGCAGCAAAAAGTTCTAAGTGTCATGATTTTGAACAAAATGAACCAGTCGTCATAAAAATTTGCGGTCTAGGAAGACTTACAACTCGCTCAGAAAGATTTCTTATAAAAAACTAATATACCTACAACTTTTCAGATCATAAATAAGGTTACAACAACCATAAAGAAAAAGCAACAAGGTCTACACTAAAACTTTGTGAAGTAAATTTCAAAAATTGGCTAGTCTTCAAGAAACAAACAAAATTTTTTAAAACAATGGTCCACGCAACTATGACCATAACCATAAAGTGACCCATTATCGAAATTAAATGAAAGCATATTTGAAAATTTACAAAAAAACGTTTGTCATTTCACGTCACTTGTCCACCGATTCTTACAAACAGCTACTAGCGCGACTAACTTTTGGCTCAGTAATTGCCGCTCTCGATAGCCTCAACTTGCTCCATATTGCTTGCATCCAAGGGAAGAATTTTCCTACCTTAAATTAAGAGATAAGCATTAAAAATGCAATATAAAAACTGCAATTACAACTTCAAAATGAATTGTTACCAAAATTATTCAAAAAGAAACATACCAAAATGCTCTTCAAACTTTCGGATCACATCCAAAGAGAACTGATCTGAAGCGAAATTAATAGCAATTCCCGCCTTACCAAACCTCCCTGTTCTTCCAATCCTGTGAAGATACGTTTCGTAATCCGGTTGAGGGTCTTGAGAGTAGGTGACTGGTGGGTCATAATTTATAACAATTGTTACCTGAGATGCATCAATACCTGAAAAACCACAAAAAACATCACTATGATCAAGTAATTGAGCAAGAGCTTTTTTAATTTAGCCAGTTTAATCCATTAATTCCCATTTTGAGTTTAAAAATTTGCAAGTAATTTTTAAATATAGAACAAAGAGAGACCTATGTGAAAATACTTTATAAAAACGTAAACCTTGAACAATGTCAAAAAAGAACCTCGAGCACAAACATTTGTAGTTATCAGAATCTTATACTCCCCATCCTTGAATTCACGGATTACCCTTGCACGTTCTTCTATGGTCATTTGCCCATGCAGTAAAGCCACGACATGATCCTTTTCACGCATTCGAGCAGCAAGCCATTCTGCAGATTTCCTCGTCTAAACAAAAAATTATCGACAAGACAATTCAATAAACCCCCAAAAATATAACTTCACTAATAATACTTCTAATTTACTTAACAACATAACGTACATAACAAAATATGATAGCTGAAGCAATAGTTAAGCCGCCATATAAATTTTTCACTGCATTATACTTTTCTTCCCGATTAGCGCATTTGACAAAGTACTGCTTTATGTTAGCCAATGTTTGTTCTTCTCTGCGAACACTAGAAACCACAGAAATCAGTTAACAGTGAGTGGTTTTGTACTTTTCAGTCACAAATAAAGGCAAATAATAATTAAGCCGTAATTTGTCAGATAACGTAAAAGGCATTTTACAAATAACTAATGAATGCTAAAAAGCCCAAATTAAGTTTAATACAAATATAAAGGTGATTAAAAGAGATTATGACGTCATCTGTCGTCACATTCTGAAAGGTCAACAATTATATCATTAGCCAAATCAACGGATTAAACCCTTAAACAAACTAAAAATACAAAATGGCTTATGATGGCGCAACAAAAATCTCGACACGTAAAATCCAGGAAAAATAATAAGCAGATGAAGCTCCAGGCTTTTAATACAAATAATTCGACGCATAAACGCCTCACAAGCGAGACTTACGTAATAATCACTGATTCTTTGATAATTGTCTCAGCAAAATCAAATACTTTTTCTTCATATGTAGCACTGAACAGCATACTTTGATACTTTGCGCCGGACCGCACCAGTTCTCTAAAACTTTGATTCGGTCAGTGTCGAATAAAATGTTGACACTATACAGAAAGCTCTAAAGAATAAAAACCGAAAAATACTAAACCATCAGTCACCAATTAGAAAACTGACAGTAAAACTGAACTTTTATGAATCCTATTTTAAAAGCAAAACTACTATTAAAATAACTTGACGTCATCAAAATGGAATATGAAAGTTAACAACGTGTCATTTACATAAAAAATCAAAACGTATTTCCAACAATATTTCACCTAGAAATTTTCGCGAAGGAAAAACTTGAATTTTAAAACACAACGATCTAAAGAATAAAAAGATCTGAGTGAGAAAGTAAAGTTCTTCCAAATCAGGATTCCAAGACTTCTGAACAAAAGAGCCTCATAACACTCCAAAAATTACTGTGAAGTAGTCCCTGAATTTCTTCTGCCCGTAAAATCTATTTCCCAAAGGCACTTTGATAAATCAGGAACTAAGTGCCTTTTTGAACGTTCAAAAGGATTCTCCTGAAGAAAATATCCCATAGCAATTGAATTAGACTTAATGGTCTGTAATTTCACCCGGTGAAACCGCAAAATTTTTGACTACCATGATACAGTAAATTCAATAAGCCTTATCCCTTATCATCTAATTCAATACAGTGACCTCTTCTCTTGACGCAGAAAATATTCTAAGAAATCTAAACAGTATTCAGCATAAAAACACCACCTATCTGGTAAGAAATGAGATAAAAGAAAAACATTTTTCATAGTTACGAATCACATACTTTAAATGACAAATAACCCAACCTGTGCAGCTTTAGACTTTGATCTTGATAACCCTGCTGTGAAATCATAACGTCAGCTTCATCAAAGACTAAGCAAATGATCTTTGATGGATCAATTATCTTTAATTTTAGAACCCAGTCTAGCATTTTCCCAGGAGTTCCAATCACAATCTGTTCCTCGATTTTCATTCCACGAGACACTGCAAACAGTTAGTAATTCCACTTCTTATGAAATCAAAAAAGTAAATGAAGGCAAACGTTAAGTTGTGTGAGAAACAGTATTTGTGATGAAAAGCGCTGTTAGCGACGACAATAAATTTTAAAGCATCTAAACGCTTCAAATCGGTCAAGATACACTGAAAATGATAACCTGCGAAGCCCTAAAACTCCAAATCCACTTCCCTAACCAATGCTACCACAGAGTGCACCAAAAAATCCAGCTCACCCCACAAAACTTATTGATGTTATAACATCAGTAAGCTTCTGAAGCACCAAAGCACTTTTAATTTCATTTGAAAAATAATAGCAACTGATCAACCTTGCCTGCGTAAAGCCTTCTCGCTTTTGATAAATATAGCAATCAAATAACCCTCTTTACACCTGGAACCACAGTTTCTACGTGACAAATCTTCTAGAACACTTAAATGACAAAAAAACTCATTCCAACCAAAGTTCCTCACAGGTCATGGTGAAAAAATGAAAAACGTTAACGCCAGGTATTATGTCACTACCATTGTTGCCTAAAAAGTATATTATTTTTCAGCTCACTGACCTTATTCACCAGCTCGTTTGAAAAGGCCAAAAACCTTTACAACAGTGCATCACTTTCGCAAAACTGTAGTATCGAGAAAGATTTCAAAAAATTACACCTCCTCTGTTAAAGATTACGATTAACATGAACCGGGCTACACTTTCCACTTGGCGTGTCCTCCGGGAACTTCACTAGTCCTCATTGCAATTTAATCTAACCCTTTATTAAAAATACCACTAAGAAAAATATTTACTCCGCATTGACATGATTCCACACTTTCTTCCAAATATCGTCCCAGCCATGCCATTAAAATCAGAACTTAGATAAACCTTTGATGCTAAATCGCTTCAAAGAATCAGAATTTGATTATTACCTTCTTCATTACCTCACCAATAACACAGACCTTAGCATGGCTAACAACAGACACAAATACCAATCTACAAAACATGACGGTTTAACAGAGGCTCTCCTAAACAATTTCTTTTTATTGTTTGTGTGCCCAGATACCAAATTCGTTTAAAACTTTTTCCTCATAACTATCAACTTTCTGCGAATAGCACGGATAAATAACACTAGAGTAGTTCTTAAAAACTCATCCAAAATTACAGATGGATGCATAATATACTTAAATTGTCCGTTCCTAATAGTTATTTTACTGTTCTGTTGTTCATATCCCAGCTGCACATTCCGACTAAAAAACTTAAAACGACCGCTTTAACAAAATCCGATAAAATACACAAGAAAAACAGAAATCTTACATTGGAAATAAGTTAGACTTAATGATAATGAAGATACTAAAGCATAGAAATTATTGGAAATGCGCGTGGTAGATCAAACAATTAGGGGGATAGAAAGCTAACTAACAGGACCTTTATCGCACTCCGTACCATGACTTCGTTTTGAATAATAAAAAATTAAATAAACAATACACGTCAATTAACGAGAAATTAACTAGCTACCTTGAACTCCACGAACAGCAAACTGAACTTTCACTTCCGGCATAAAGTAACTCATTTCCTTCACTACTTGCCCAATCTGCATGGCCAATTCGTACGTCGGAGCTAGACACAAACACTGAGGCCACTTGTTCTCTGGAACGACCCGAGAGAGCATTGTTAGGACAAAAGCCGCTGTTTTACCCGTACCACTCTGCGACTGAGCAATCAAATTTTGAGGTCTAAAAAGACAACATTACTTCCTTAAGAATTTCTTGATCATAGTGCTGCCTTCAGAAACACATTAATCCGGCTACATATGGTTCAAAAAAAAATCCACTAAAAACCATAAGACTTACTGAAAGAGTACAACTATGATGAGGGGAACTTACGGTTCGATAAGCAAAATAGGAAGTGCGGCTTCCTGAATTTTCGATGGCATCTGGAATCCCATCCGATTCAGTGCCCTTAAAAGTTCCTCTTTCCTGAAAGATATCCATTAAAAAACCCATATCTTCGTATTGTAAACGCTGTAAAAAATAATGAATCGCCGACTTCTGAAGGCCAAAGAAGATAAATCGCGTTATAAGTGCCTCAATTATGTGCAGTTTCATAAATACCTGTGAGAGCGTATTAATACTTACAGGCGTAGGCTTTCAAAACTATTGGCTGAATAAAGGGGGGAGGATGGATCAGACTGCTGAAGAGATACTTGAACATTGTCATGTTGGATGTTCTCCAACTTTTTATGCAATATTTTATTCAATAATGATATCTCTTCTCTTGACATGGCTGAAAACAAGTAGCATGTTAGCAAAAGTCCTTCTACTAAATGACGGTAATAAGGACCAAGTCTTTAAACATAAATTAAATCTAATTATCTTCATCTAGTTTGTAACAATATTTTAAAGTGTTTCAGTTACTGAACCTATTTCACAATCTAAAAAACGAAACAAAATGATGTGAAATAAGGTCGCTTAAAAATAAAAGTCAAAGCCTCTTCAATTCAACAGATAAATCAGGATGATAAAAGAAGCAAAAAGTTTAGAAATACAAATGCGGCTGCCGTACGTTTATCAACATCTTCGGTCGGAGCTGACCAAGCTGGTTCTTCTCCTCCAACTTCTTGAGAAAACTGTCTCGCTGAAGACCTCAAACTGCCATTCTTAATACAAAGGGGAAAGTTAAACTTTTGAAACTCGAATCACAAAAACAGTAAATTCAGAGTGGAACTGCCAACAACCAAAGATTTACAACACCGAGTAAAGCCATAGTACAACCTCATAAAACTGTCCACTAGACACCCCTAATCCGCTATCCAATTCCTGGCCAGAAGTTCCTAAAAAAAAGCTGGTAATGTAAAAGCCATCTTCACACAACTTTACTCTAAAGGTCATAAATCGACAATTAAAAATAACAAGAATTCCCCTCAACAGACTTTTCTCAGTCTTTGCCCACAACGTTTACTGTAGACCACAAGCAGTACTCTAAGGAACGGTGTTCAAAATATTAGTCTGCATATGAGAAACAATCAAGCAACTGCAAAGCTATTTTCTCATTTCTTTCAACTACAGTAACAAACCTACTGCATATTTTCGAAAGTTCTTCTTCTTGGTTTCCAGCCAAGCAATAAAAAAATTTTTTTTACAGAGAATTTATTTCACTAAAAGCTCTGAAATGGCTCATGAAATTTAACGTCTGGATGCAATGTTTATTTAACAAAAAGTAAAGCACAGAGAGTAGTTCAAGATGTGACAATTTGTACACTCCCTCTCCTTTTGCTACCATCCATACGCACTCCATTACTTCCTACAGCTCACATTAAGCTTGAAGGCAATGAACACGTACTGGGACCAACTAAGGATTACTGAGAGCTCTTTCAAGATCTGAGAGGGTAAGATAATTACGAAATACAAAATACAGTGCCAAGAAAAGAAAGCAAGCAAGGCTTGAAAATAAGCTACTTCCCGTACAGCAAAGATGGAAAAAGCGACTGTGCAGAACTTTTGTACCTCAGTAAACAGAAGTGCACATGACTGAAACTAAGGTTCAAATTTCTGCAGTAACAACTGTTCAGCTATAAGCAATCGTATAATACGGAAGGTTAACGCACCTAAACAGTCTCCTGCAGGAGGAGCAAAACCACCGAAAGCGTTGCTAAAATCAGCATTGAGCGAAACACCACGATGTATTTCTAAAAAAAAAAAATAAGCAAAACATTTTGAACTTCCTCAAAAACAGTTAAAAAAGTGCAGCTAGAAGCGAAAAAAAATGTAACAATAACAATACCAGACACTTACGTGAGCTTTCACCAAGATTCTGATTCGGTGTAGTGTCGTCATCAGCAGTTAGAGACATCTTTTTAGCCTAAAAAGAAAACCGCAACAAGGTTCTATTCAATCAAAAAAGAAAGAGAGAACGAAAAAAGAATAATTAAACAAAGAACTTCTACAGTAAAAGGAAACAATGAAACGTAAAAATAGTACCTGATTAACAATTGCTTTTTGTTCGTTATCCTCCTGTTGTTGCGCGGAAACCGCCCAAGAATCGTCGACCGCCCACGGGTCTTTTCCGGCATCGCGCGCCATGTACTGAAATCCAAAAAAATTCTTCCCTCAAAAGAGTGCTACCCGCAAATGCTACAGGAAGAAACAGCTACTCGATTTTATGGTACCAACAGTCTTTTACCAGTTATTCGGTTTTGTAAAAAACCAAGAAGAACAAAGGAAAAAGAAACAAGTAATCGATCCTACAAATAAATTACCATAAGTTCTGTCTGATTTGATCCAGTCACTCTTAGACAGCCCTTCTGTAAACAAATTTTTCTTGTTTAACAAGTCCCTCACTACCCAAAAACTTATTTGGACCCTTTACTGGCAAAACGAATAACTTTTAATGTTTAATAAAGTGATTTTAACGATTAATTCAGATTTTCATCAACAACAAATTGATGTCAACCACCTTAACGACACCTGTTTCCCGCTATCTGCCCTAAACTCACGACCCGCTGTAAGTTGAAAAAAAAATCTTTTCAATTGGCCTTTTTGAACGCTGCACTAAACGCACAATCATAATTTCTCCACATTCTTTAGTTTCAGCTCTTTCTATATCGTCTTCGCCTACATTTTCAACACGATTTTTCAGTGTTTTTATTTCCCACGAATTAAAAGAATCAATTTGAAAAAAAAAAAAAAGAAAAAGCACTCGTTAAGAACAGAACTATTATTCGTAAAACAGCGGAGAAAAAACCGAAAACTGTAGACAAAAAAAAAAAAGTTCCCATACTCAAACACGACCGTGAAGAAAAAATAAGCGCAGAATGGTTCTGCAGCAAGCACTCGCTTAAACTGTATTTCTATTGTACACATAAATCTGACCTGGCAGTATTTTTAGCCGTTTGAAAATGGCGAAAACCCCTCAAATGCATGCCTGTTGTTGCTTACAAGAAGAAATAAAGAGAAAATTGGATGACTAAGATGTTATTTTAGCAAGACTATGTTGCTTTTCACATTGTTTAGTACAATAAACAAATCTCTTCCCGCCTTCATGAATCTAAAATGAAAACAAAAGCAAAATATAAAATTACCATATTTGTAATGTCCTCTTTATCTCAGGGCAATGTACAAATTCATCACAAATCATCTGATGATCAAAATGACAAAAATACCAATAAAAATAAAAGACTCATCTAATTCCCTCTCGTATGTTGACACACACAAAAAATAAAAAAAAAAAAAACAAAAGTTATTATCTGCCAACCGTACCTTCAGCAATGATATGCATTACTTGATCACTTATGTGCTTACCTTTTCGACAAAATTTTCTTCCAAATAAGTTTGCCCAGTTATAGTATCTAAAATAACAAAAATCTCATCGTTCACACACTCACGCAGACACACACGAACACGTACAAGCATATATGTATATAAGACATGTGTTCCCAAATACATAACTACAAACACACGTATCGACATAATTACATGAAAAGAATTGTTGCAATGTAAAGTCAAGGTGTTTTTCCTGTACTTTTTCTTTGGACTATTGAATATCTAAAATGTACCTTTAAGAGTGAACACAAAAAAATGGAAAAAAGTACGAAAAATCTTGCAATGAAATAAGAAAGAAACAAATGCCATTTAACCTCACTGACAGCGCAAAAACGATAGACGGCAACAAACAAACAAAGGTAATTTACAGTTTGTATAACATCTACGAAAACAGCGAGTATCGCCGATAAAAAAATGGACCAGAAAAACGGAAACATAAAGGAACAAGATTCTAAACGACTAAAAAAAAATTTGAATCTAAAATAAGCACAAAATTGGTAGTTGATCTGGATGAGTTTTTTTCTACAAAAAAATATGTTTAGCAAAAAAAAGCAGCATATAACAAACAGATAAAATTACGAAATACAGTGCTAAAAGCAAAAAGTGTTAAAATGAACAAACAAAGAAAAGAAAAAATTTGTATACACTTACGGCGCATGTTTGGATATTGAACAATGGTCATGGAATGAAATTATTGCGCTGTTATTAGCAGCATAGAAATTTAAAGCAGAATTTTCGTTTTCGTTTTAAAATTTTTTGGATGATATTGCAAGCAGTCAGTCAGCCAGCCAATCCGAGCGATAGCAGCCAGTACTCTTAACCTGTAGTTGCTGTAATTGCAACCAGCAGTCACCGAGACAGCCAAACGATTGATGTTGATTATGTAAGTGAGAAGTACAGTTGAGACTCTGGCTGCTTGGTTAATTCTGATCACAAAAAAAAAGCTTCATGTGATTTCTGCATCTT